AATACCAGTCTTTCATTAGGCATGTAAACAAATGTTTTCTGGTTAATCAGTTGGAATAGCTTCAAAATATCTCCAGGAATAAACACTGGTAATTTCAGTTTCAACGACCTAGAGACCAAGAATGTAGCTGCAAAATACAGAAACGGTGCGATGAAAAAATGTATTTGCCTACCTTAACAGCTGATGTAAATCACAGTTAGTTGAGAGCAGTGATTGGTATTAAATGTGAGTACTGCCAAAATGATAGGATCAAGTGTGTCATTTGGAAACTGCATATACACCCAGAGTAAATGTGGAGAACACTGTCATTGAACACTGTCATATGCTTTGTGGATGGATTGTGTCATCTTAGTGACAGCACATGCTGCAGAAAGTGTCTCTGAGGAAGTCAGGGGACAGGTCTTTATCTCTTCAGTTCTCCTGAGATTACAGGAGCAAGTTTCAATTAAAGGCAATGAAAGAATGAGAGCATCTTACGCTGCTATGAACAACCAGAAGTTTCTACCTTATTTAACCTTATCATATTTCCCATTGACATAAAAGAAAAATAAAATATTATTCAAAGATATAGAAAGTCAGAGGCATCTACAGTTGAATCAGCCTTGCCCTTCCTCTCATGGCTTTCTCATTAAAATCACATAAAGTAACATAGGAAAGAGCTTTTTAAATAGAAATGCACTATGTAATTATGTGGTACTAAATCATTATCAACATTGTTTAAAAAATACATTCCCACAGGTGTACATAAGGTGTTTAATATACATTAATAAGAATTTGTTTAGTGGCCAGTGGTAGAATCCTAACTTATACTAGTTCTAGCTTTAAAAGTGCTCAATCTCTGGGCACAGGGAGTTCTGACAACATGTAGCACAAGTCAGAGTTCTAATTGTTAAAATTCACCGCAGAGCTGATGGGGGACAGCATTTCAGTAGAAGGGAAGGCACCAGCTGGCATGATCTGCCAGGCATTTGAGAGGTAATAGGACTTCGAAACTAGGACAATGATATCCAATGATTATTGCTAAGTGATACTGATATTCTAAATCTGTGATTCTCAAACTCTGGCATGCATCAAAATCACCTGGACTCTGGCAAAACACGCAGATTTCTGGGCTCCAGTGTAATGTTTCTAATCAAGAAGGTCTGAGGTAGAGCCAAAGAATTTGCGTTGTTAACAACTTCAATGCGATACTGGTGCTGCTGGCTCTGGGACCCTCTTTTGAAAACCACTCTTCCAGAAAAAAATTAATGAAAAGGTGCAGGTGATTGACAGCCAATGGAAACCAGGTATGAAAGCCAGAGGACTTCTGTGGTCTCTCACAGGGAATCCACTTTCTACAATAGGAGGGAAGAAAAAGCTGGACCAGGACCTGGTTTAAGAGTGGCCAAACTCCTGATAAGGTAAAACACTCAAACGAACGCAGGCTGTTAGCATCTGGTTGGGAAAAATGAGATTCTTCTATTTGAAAATATAGAACCTGGACAAAGGCACCTCAAAATTTTGAAACCAGGGTGTTCTGCAACTTTGGAGCCTGCAGTAGTAGCCCATACATGTCTATTAAGAGCTGGAATTCCTCCCTTGGTTGAAAATAAAGGAGAGGCTTCTCTCCGGCCAGTTTCCCCGGGTCTCAACCCCAACGTAGGATTCATGGGCATTGATCCCTAAAAATACCCAATATGCCCGAATTTATCTCAGTGTCTGAAGAACACAACCCATGACAGCAGCCTCTAGCTGGTGATGACTGGACTCACAAACTCCACAGCTTTAGAACCCTTGCTTTCAAAATTTTTGCCCTTTTGCTTTTCAGCTTAATTTTCTCCCATTGATGATGCTCTTTCTTAACCCTGTGCGTGGACAGCACAGCCTGGATGTGTGAGACTTACCTTACAACAGCAATTCTGTGGCACGAGAGTCTAAGAGGCATCTCTTCTAATCCAGTTTGAAAAAATCCAGGGAAAAGCCCTTACTGGTCTTGTTATAGGTAGTAAGCCATGAGCAGGGCAGGAGAGGGCTCTTCCACAGCACTCGCTGTAAATTTTCAGCGATGGTTCATGAATTATTGCATTGCTTCTCTAACAATGGTAATTCGGCAGCCAGGGAGAGTCTCCTTATGATCCACACCTGTTAACACTGAGAGTGTTAATTGAACGCAGGCCCCAGAGAGAAGCAGCTTCTTGGGCATGCGTGTTAAAATACAAAATGGCAAAGTATGATGTTTGGGGGGACACACATCACCCGAAAAAGGAAAAAAGCCTCAGACGCGCATGTGTATAACTGTATACACACTGCACCTGCTCAGTTCCAAGGGATAAAGAAAGCACTGTGCATGCAGGAAGCCCACTCTAAGGGAACAGTCATGGGAAAGAGGTGAGCCTTTAAACTCCTAGAATCGAGGCTAAAGGTTTTTTTTTGTTTTTTTTTTTTTTTTTTTTTTTTTTTGAGACAGAGTCTCACTGTGTCACTCAGGCTGGAGCACAGTGGCACGATCTTGGCTCACTGTAACCTCCACCTCCCAAGTTTAAGCAATTCTCCTGCCTCAGCCTCCCAAGTAGCTGAGACTACAGGCATGTGCTACCACATCCAGCTAATTTATGTATTTTTACTAGAGACAAGGTTTCTCCATATTGGCCAGGATGATCTTGATCTTTTGATCTCATGATCTGCCTGCCCCAGCCTCCCAAAATGCTGGGATTACAGGTGTGAGTCACCACGCCCGGCCAGGCCTTTTTTTTCTTTTTTGGCTGTCTTCTCTTTTCTCCTTTTGACCTTCAGGCACCCACTTGGATCTCATCCAAGGGTTCTTTTCTGTTCTAAATCCTTTTTTTTTTTTTTTTTTTTGAGACGCAGTCTTGGTCTGATGCCCAGGCTGGAGTGCAGTGGCAGGTTCTTGGCTGTCTTCAACCTCCACCTCCCAGATGCAAGCAATTCTGCCACAGCGTCCTAAGTAGCTGGGATTACAGGCATGAACCACCACGTCCAGCTAATTTTTTTATTTTTAGTACAGATGGGGTTTCACCATTTTGTCCAGGCTGGTCTTGAAGTCCTGACCTCAGGTGATCTGCCCACCTCAACTTCCCAAAGTAGTAGGATTACAGGCGTGAGCCATTGCACCCGGCCACTCTAAAGCCTTTTAAATAAACTTCCATCCCTGTTCTGGAACTTGCCTTGGTCCCTTTTTCTGCTTTATACTCTTCAGTAGAATTCTTCTAAGGCAGCAAGAACTGAAGTTGCTACAGCCCCATAGGGATACTCCGCCAGTAACTCAGATCTCTCCCACCGCTAACACTCTGGCTTGGGTTATGTGCTCACAAACCTTCGGAGAATCACTCACTATATCCAGAGTCAGGAAGAACATGATAAGAACATCCTGGTCTAAGCCCTCACTCCTGTGGCCAGGAGCCGAGGACCATCATGAAAAGGAGGAGAAGTTATGAAATGGACAGGAATGACAGCAAATAGTTGTGAATGTGACTGATGCTAATTTATACCCAAATCCTATTATATGTCCTCCATTATTTTGATAGCTTAAAAAAGAAAGAGATGGCGGAGGATCCGAGATGGCCAAATAGGAACAGCTCTGGAGTGCAGTTCCCAGCGAGAACAGCGCAGAGGGTGAGTGCTCACTGCATTTCCAAACAAGTCTTCACATCAGGTTCTTTAGAGACCACTGAACAAGCTTAGGGAGCCTCATCCAGTCACCTCTCTCCATACTCAATAAATAGATTAGGTATTTGAAGAGGGTGTTATAACTCAGTGACCTAGTAGAGAATGTTTGTGAGCTCGACTCTCCAAGATAATTGCTGATAGAGATAATTACTCACTAGGTTTACAAGAAGGAAAGACTAGTGTTTCATTCCTGTGGTGAATGTCTGCTAATGAATCCAACCTCTGATCTACTCTGTGTGTACGTCAATGGGAGAAGAGAATCAGTAGAGACCCCGGGAAGGGGTCAGCCATGACTTGGTACTATTGCTACTCCATTGCCTGGAGAGGTTATGATGCATGAGTTTCCTGTGGGGCAGCTGACATAGCTGACCTCCTGCCAGTTTTCTTCCACAGAGTTCCTGCAGGGTGAGGGGAACAAAAGCAGAGGCTGTGGAGAGTGCTACAGATGAAAGAGCTCTGGGGTGAATAGGAGAGTCAAGCCAGAGCGTTTCCCCGGAAAGAAACTATACTGTGTTGTATCCCCACTGGCTGGTATCCAGGAAATTACAAATCGGCTCCACTAGAAAGACACCCATCACTCAGAGAAAATCCAAGGTCGGTCCCTGTCAACAAGGGGAAGGCTATGATAGTACTAAGTCAGTGGTATTTGAACTTGGTCATTTCTCCTAATCCTCTATCCTGTTCCCACACAGCCTGAGGAATGGAGATCCAGAAGGGGGAGGGGGAGGAAAAGTTGTAGGAACTGACCACATCTTCTTTCTCTGTTGGGTCCCTTGAGGCAACACAGGGAGGGAGTAAAGCATTAAATAATTTAAATATGGAGTTGAAACCTGTCTGACTTGGACTTGTTAGACCCAGAATTACTAGAACATGAAATGTGTGTAAGATGATGCAAAAGAGATGGGAATTCAGGAGAGCATGATTGAACGCCACTATTAGAAAAAGAGAAAGCCATATCATGTTTATATCCCAACAATTTTTACACTGCTCAGTAAACTTCATGCTATTTGGAGGCATTGCAATTGCACAGTACTTATATTGTCTGTCATAACACTGAAAGTTAACTGACAGCGTGCCTGGTTTTCATCAAGAATCCTGAGAATTCAGTAATCTTCATAGAGTGACTAGCATGATTCATCATGTAACTCTTTGATTCTAATAACTCGACCCACAATAATCTACTGTGATTTTTTAAAGTAAGCTGTTAATTGTTTTACGTGCAAGGCTAGCTTCTGTTGTTTGTTACATATTCTGATGAGAACTTCTCAATGGGAATGATAGATTTTCTTTTGATTTTCTATTACATGAAGTGAAGAAACTTTGACAAATTGGCATTTTAGATGCTGATGTCTCTCAGGAGTCAGTTTTTATTTTTTAAGAGGAGAGCTGTTACATCGAAGCATGCGTTCAAAAGAGATTAAACTAAAAGAAGCTCGCAATGGGATGGATCATTAAGGACCTTCTCAGAAATAGATGAAATGGATATAGGCTCAGCAGTTGTTGTCGTGGATGATTCGGCACTTCAGGAGCTTGAGATAATTGTCGATCTTATGTGAATCCCTGCGTAGGCAGTGGAGCAGGTTATAATAAGCAAAAAGGCGAGACTCTTCATCAGCCATCTGCAGGGATGGAAGTCCCGACCAAACAGAGTAGATCTCATTTTCTTTGGTTTCAGGATGAACCTAACCACAAAAAAACAGTGACTTATTCTTCATATTATTAGTATTTGTATGTCCTCGTTCTTTCTAACTGTTGAATTAAGATTTGAGAGTGAGATAGGAATGTACAGTTTTAGCCAAAGGCAATGATTTTTGTTTATCTGGGCCAGTGTATCAGAAACCTATTCATATGAAAACTAGAAGAATACATGTTTAGGTTTTCTGACATCAACATGATTACAGAAACTATGTTTCTACAAAAGTAGACAGATGAAGAATAGAAAGTTGCTACGTAAATATCAACACGGATTTGACCAAGAGGCAATGGAGTAGCTAGCTTTGGTTCTCTTACCTGAGGAACTATTTCATTTCCTGAGTCTTGTCCCTGATGTGTCCTTTGTGCTTTATTTTTCCTGACATCATTTATTTTCCTCCCGCTTTGAACTCAATCTAGTCCCTGAATAGTGTATGTTCAAAAAACTTTAAAAATGATGAAGATTGTACTTGTACTTGATGCTTTGGGGGTACAGATAATCTAGTGATGACCATGACTAAGAATACCTGCTTATACAGTCAGGAGATTTTCATTTCCTCAAATTTCTAGGAGAAACAATTGCTTTCTTTTGAGGTCCCTGGGCTGGGAGGTGCTGGGAAAAGCACCTACAAGAAAGGGGTACAGGCCGGGTACGGTGGCTGACACTGGCTCATGCACTTTGGGAAGCTAAGGCAGGTGGATCACTTGAGGTCAGGAGTTTGAGACCAGCCTGACCAACATGGTGAAACCCCATCTCTACTGAAAATACAAAAATTAGCCGGGTCTGTTGGTGCATGCCTGTAGTTCCAGTTACTTGGGAGGCTGAGGCACAAGGATCTCTTGAACCTGAGAGGCAGAGGTTGTAGTGAGCCAAGATCATGCCACTGCACTCCAGCATGGGTGACAGAGTGAGAACTTGTCTTAAAAAAAAACAAAAACAAAAACAAAAACGTTGGGAGGCTGCTTGCCGTAGCCCTTCGGTGGCGAGGTAGGGTTGGGGGCATGGCTGTGATAAAAGGAGGCTGAACAGCAAAACAGAGAGCGTGTTCTGTTTCTTCACGCTCTGTCAGCCTTTGCAAACCAGGAATGCCCAGAGATCTTAGAGACCAAGTGACCATTTAGCAACTTTAGGGATGTCAGCTAGTTTGGAGAACTCTTAGGCATATAAACCTGGGACAAATGTAGACACCGATCTTCTAAACCTTTTCCTACAGAGTGAGAATATTTTTTAAATCTGGGATTCCCTATGGGAATTTAAAGTGTGTGTGTGTGTGTGTGTGTGTGTGTATTTATTGACTTGCTTTATGTTTTTATTTTTGGTGCTTGAGTTCTAAGACAAAACTTACTGTGTAAGGGATAATGATATAAACAAGAATAAATCTGTGGAAAGAAAAGGGAACAGAAAATGAAGTACTATAGAACAAATTAGTAACCTCAGAAATTAGGTTTACAGTAATGAAGAAAATAACTGAAAAATCGAGGTATTTATTTCATACGTCCCAAGGTTAAAATGTGCTTTATCTTTGTGTTGGACATATTTTTCTCCCAAGAAAATGACAAAAATGATACATGATAACTTGTACTTAATACGCAAAAAGAGAAATACAAAATTATTCCTGTTATTATTCCTATAATCATATATTTTTCTTTAGATGGTTCATTATCCCTGAAAACCTCAAAAGCTGTTTAAGTATTATCTCACTAATGTTGAAATCATTCCATCTGAATAGAGATATCTATTGCAAATACTAACAGAATCTAAATATAACAAATTTTTGGGGGAGATTAAATGCAATGACATGAGTTTTGATTTTAGAGTTCCAAGAAAAACAAAATTTAGAATGAGCCAACTTTCTACACATTACAAAATAAAGATATTCCAGAAAAGATATACACCTTTCTTTTGTGACTCCCTGAAATCTAGTGCTTGTGGGACCCCCTAAAATCAATGCAATGTGTGTGCATTGATGTCATGGTCTCATCATGTTGACATCTGCTCCTCCCTGACAAGTCTGTGCAGCAGATCACAGGTGAGTGGTTGAGGGCTCAACCAATCTGATTTTGGTTTTCTTCTTTCTCCCCTTCCACTCTCATCCTCTGGTGAGGGGAAATTTTCAATAGTGGGTGTCCTGGGGTACTCTGCAGAAAAACATGTATCTTGCAGATACTATTCTCTAGTTTTCTCTCCCTTGAAAACACTTAACTTCCTGTCCTCAGGAAGGTGCAAGTCTTTGGAAGTTCTGCATATAGTGTAGGGAAAATGGCACCTGTCACATAGCACTCTAAGATTCATTTACATTAGAATCTGTGACTAAGAATGACTAGGCTCTTGCTTTATTTAACAGTGGTCTAAAATACGGAATGCCTAAATTTCCTTCTTTCAAAGGGAAATATTTGTCATCACAGAGGTCACTGCTTATATTAATGAGAAAAACAAAGAGGCACCAAGAGGCTGCTGACCTGGCTGAGTATCAGCTCCATGCCTTCTAGAAGCCGTTTGGTTTGCTCCTCAATCTCTATGGCTTTGGATAGGATGGCCTCCGGGGCTTCTTGCATACTGCGTACTTCCGTGACTAGATGATACAGAGGCTCATTCCAGGATCGCAGTATGCTGACGATCAGGCTCACAAAGTCTTTTTGCTACAAAACCGTATAGAACAATTGCATTAAAGTAGGTAAAATACAATGGGGTTAGTTACATGTGATTTTTGCTTAGAGAGGCTGGACTAAAATATCTCTTTTTATTTCTATGTGTAGTTATATTTTTCTTTAGGTGACAGAAGTTATAGAAATGTAAAATTTAAACGATTGGACTACACTTTGCTAAAATAAAAAAGAATCTGGCTTATTTCAGTGACTACTTTTTCTGATGAGAGTTCTAATTGATAAGAATTAAGAATTTTGTTTTTCCTCTGAAATTGTACCATCTGTCCACTTAGTAAGATCTTTTGTAGTTGTTTGATTTGCTTGTCCCTGGGGAGAAACTAAAATTTTGCTGGAACTCTGTAAGTGCCCAGAGTATCTAACTCATGAGAAACAGATTCCACTGGGTCCACGTCAAGGGGCCCAAATCATTCACATACAAGCATTCATTCATACTAATGATTCAAACTGTTCCTTGAACTATTCATGTTTGATTTGTAGTTTTATTTTGGGATCCTAGAAAAAAGAGACATTGTAGATGACATGGAATTCATTAACATGGTTTCCTCGATCTACACAACCCCTTGCCCCATGCTGCTAGCAGAGCAGTCTGTTCTCTTGGCTTACACAGGTGAATAAAATGGAACCAAAGCTATCTTGAATAACCATGGAATTCACAATGGAGTTCTGGCTGCCTAGTTTTTTTTGTTACTACCAGGATCCTGTAGGAGACTCCAAGTAGCTGATCAACTCTGATAAAAATGCTTGCTTTGTAGATGTCTCTGAACTAGTCTAGTGGCAACAAAATGAAGACTAAAGAAGAAATCAGTGGACATTGCAATGGAAAGATGTACTAGGATATGAAAGAAAGGAGCCATAAAGAGGTATAGGCCATAAAGTGAGTGTCAGTGTAGTTCTTCTGGGAGCATTGCAACACAATGATTAAGCGTAAGGGCTTTGAACTGAAGGAAGCCCAGGCTCGCCACTTACTTACCATGTGACTGGTACAAATTCCACAACCTCTCTGAGCCTCAAATTCCTTATCTCAGTGAGCGTAATAACAATACCTTGTGTTAGAGGATTTTTATGAGGATTAAATATAGTAATGCACGTGAAGTGTCTGGCAATGTAGCACAAGTTGAACATTCCTAATTAAAAATCTGAAATCTGAAATACTCCAGTGAGTATTTTTTTTTTTTTTTAGCATCATGTAGGTGCTCAGAAAACTTAGGATTCTGGAGTATTTGGGATTTCAGATTAGTGATAACTCAACCTGTGGATCTCAGTAAACATTTCCTCTTCCTCCTCCTTCTCCCCTTTCTCTTTCTCCTCCTTCTGTTATTATTGTAATTATTATTAGTGAACAGAGCACACAGAAATGTTGGTGTCATTCCTAAAATTGTAAATGGAGAACACATTGTATTTGCAGGGGGCATGTATATAAAGATGCTTGTTTTAAATCATGTTGAGACTGATTATGGTGGACAACCAAAAGGGAGAGATTAGAACAATAGAGGATTGAAGCTGAGATACATGATTGGGGCTTGATACGCAGACTTCATAGTCATCAGAACAGGGGCGATTGTTGTAGCTGTGAAAAGCAAAGTGTAATGTTTTACAGTATCTGTTTATTGTGAGGGGAGTGGTGACTTTTAACTAAGAAGTAAGAGAGGGCCGAGAGTCAGTGAAGAACAAAGTAGGCGTCAGAGAAGCAGAAATAGAACCAGAGTAGAGTCTTGAAAGTCCAGAAGAGATGGTTCAGATAGTGCAGGGTTGGTAATGTAACATGCTGTTGATGCAGGAGTCACTAGCAACATGTAATAAATAAAGTGCATTTGTTTTTCTTACATATGCATAAATGTGTATTTGTCCATAGAAGTCCAATTCAGTTCAAACTTTCATATAGAATATATACAATCTTAGCAATGAGGCATTGGTTAAAATGATGTTATCTGCAAGGACAATTTATGGATCTACTATTTAGGTTGCTGCTACTATCTTTACTTAGCATTTGATTTGACTCATATTCCATCAATCATAGAATTTTTTGATTGCTTATTCTTCCTATATTTTCCCTGCATGTACGATTACCACTAGCTATTACGGCACCTTTAGTAACCTATCACCGAGATAATGCACGTGCACTGCCTTGGTTGTTTTGATGCAAAACCTGGATGCAGGACTCACACTGATCTGCTGGGCTTGCTCCTTGTCTTCGGGGGTAGCGAGGGAAGAAGTGTGACAGCTGTTGATGGCCTTGCTAATGAACCCCCGGCCTTGGGTGTACCGTTTATCCTAGAAATAGTGAAACATTCAATTAGTTGGGGTTGTTTGGGCATTGAATAAATGAATCTACTACCAGAATACTAATATATTTGACAGGTGTGTAATTTTTAAAAATTAGAACTACATAAAAATGAAAACTAAAGAGTTAAGAAAGTAACCCTTTTGTCTACTTCCCACCCATTATCTCTATAATTTTTTCATCTAATTTTTCTAAATCTCAATCTCTTCCCTTCTTCGCAATTCCCTTGTTTATTTTCACCATTCACACAGTCACACAAGTCACTGTTTGGAAAGCAGATGCTAAAAATAGCAAAAATATGAAACATTAAATGTTGTATTGAGAATCATCTTTCTTCAGTGTTTGAGCCAAATGCCACAGTACAAATATATTTACCTTTATTCATTTAATCTCTTATTTACTGTAGGTCCAAACTGATAGACTTCTGTTAATAGGCATTAGAAAATCTAACTGTTCTCTAAAAAGTTTCTGAGCCCACACACCTGTACCTTACCAAGTTCATCCAAGACATGGAATACAACTTTTTTTTTGATCATGACAAAATAAGTCAGAAACACAGGGCACACAATTTTAGGAACTATAAACAATGGACTGAGGATAAGAACAGGATAAAAAAGGAGCTAACACATTGACAGGAAAGAGCAGTCCTTAGTAAAACTTATAAAAGTGTAAAAGAGTTACTGGGAAGGTTTGGAAGACAAAAGATGGCCAGTCAAAAATGGAGGATGAAAGAGAAATCAGAGGGAAAAAATGAATGCAAATTTAGTCTCTATGGAGACCCTTGATTTATTAAAGCACCAATTGATTGTTTGCTTCTTGATTGACCTAGAAGAGTTAACCTGTGATTTCCAAAACAGGTTAATTGGAAATAGAGTACATATTACTGAAAAAGAAAAGAGGAAGGAAGGAAGGAAGGAAGGAAGGAAGGAAGGAAGGAGGGAAGGAAGGAGGGAGGGAGGAGAGGAAGAAAGGAAGGAAAGAGGGAAGGAAGAAGTGAAGGAAGGAGGGACGGAGGGAGGAAAGGAAGGAAGGAAGAAGGGAGGGAGGGAAGGGAGAGAAGGAAGAAATGAAGGAAGAAAGGAAGGAAAGGAGGGAGGGAAGAAAGGAAGGTAGGAAGGAAGAAGGAAAGGAAGGAAGGAAGAGAGGGAGGGAGGGAAGGTAAGTAGGGAAGGAAGGAAGGAGCAAAGGTAGGAAGGAAGGGAGTGAGGGAGGAAGGAAGGAAGAAAAGGAAGGGAGGGAAGGAAAGAAAAAAGTCCTGGTTTCCAATTTTAAATTAGCCCTTTATTGTAATTACAAACCCATATACTGAAAATCTCAGACAAATGATTTCTAGCATTTTGGGGTTTTTGAAAAGTTATTATTTGTTTATTTTCCCAAATACGGATTCGGCTCAGTTTAATTCTATTCAATCCACCCAGTTCGCTGCAGCACAGTTCCTCATTACGGGATATGTATTCCTTGCTCGGTGAGGAATGCCTGCGAAGTCTGACCCCCACATTCAAATAACAAGAAATCAACACTCTTCCTTCTCCTCAGCCCCACCTGAGCATGCTTTAGGTCAGGTGTTTAGTTTTTGTTTTAGTTTTAAAAAATAAAGCGAGTTAAAGAAAAAATTTAAAAATCATTATATTCTTTGAGAATCTTGGAGGTTTTGTGGCACTGTGCCTTTCCTCTTTTTCCACATGTTAGGAGCTGATGTCTTCTTTCACAAGTTAAAGTGTATCCTTTGAAACTGGGCTCAGGAGGTTTTCTAGGCGAAAGTGTAGGATAGTCCCGTGGTTCACTTAAAGGCTTCTTCAGGGAGGAAGCCCGAAGCATGGTACTTACGAATTCGCTGAACATTTCTGAGGAAAGGTTATGGATGTAGTGGGACAGGACGACGGCACGGTCAAAGAGGTCTCGAAGGGTCACCTGGCATCTGACAGCCCCACCAGGACAGATGGGCAAGGGGGTCACGCTCTGGCACAGAAGCAGGTTTGATACCAGCAGCAGCAGGAGGGACCCTGTTTACATTAGAGCAAGAGCCACTCTGAGATGATCTATTCCATGGAGGTTTTCAACAGGAATCCTGCTGGGGGCAGGCTTATCGCTCCCCACTGTCCTCAGCTGCCTGATTTGGTATTGCAATTGCTGGGATGGGGGAAGAATCAACGTCTTCCACTGTGTAAATATAGATATGTAATGATGTTTGTACAAATATATAGTTTGAGAAGTGGGTGACTTCCTGCACTTTTGTATGTATTCTAGAAGTGCTTTTGCACTTTGCAAACATTAGGAGCATGAATTAATTCTGAGCTAGGGTGTTTGGATCATTGTCTTAAGATAGTTTAATGTCTTGGGAGTTTCTGCAGATTTTCAGCAGTCAGGCTGTCCAAGGCTTTGTATTTTTTTTTAACTAGGTGTGTCTGATATTAACATTTTAGACACTGATATAACAAAAATAGCTCAGTGGATCACTTTGATTTATCTTCCTGCCTGATAAGAATAAACACGATTGTTTGATGGCTAATACCGGGTATGAAGACAATTCTAACATAAAAATAATGCTGTAGTTTAGATCTGCTAACCCACCATCATAATCCCATACATTTGTTTGACACTCTGCCAAAAGCATTAAATTTTTTTTGTGTATTTGTGCTTCATAATAACCTTGTGAGATACACTGACCATTGTAATTATCATCAAATTCTATTGATGAAACAGACAGCTAAAGGAGGTTAAGTGATTTTCCTCAAGTCCTGTTGTGAGTGAGTGAGAGAGGCAAGATGCCATACTGTGGTCTGTGCAGGTCCTCTTGTCACATCGCACATGCCTGTGGACTCTCAGTCTGCATCTGTGTAATGGGCACCACACCAGTAGCCGTGACGGCTCAGTGTTTGCATAGGTTGTTGCCATCACTTACAAAGAACAAGTTCTTTGCCTTGGATTGACTGCATCACAACCGAGGCACCAGAAAACTTGATTTTATCCACTTTTCCTACCCTAATTACAAAACACTCTGACCACTGCTGAAGGTTTTCAAAGCTTTGACAATGATCAGAGATGGCTTTGTCATCAATTTGCTATCTCAGCAAATAGACAGTTACAGCCCTGTAACATATCAACAATTTATACCTTTTTTTTTTTAGACGGAGTTTTGCCCTGTTACCCAGGTGGCGTGCAGTGGTGCAATCTCGGCTCACTGCAATCTCCACCTCCCAGATTCAAGAGATTTTCCTGCCTCAGCCTCGTGAGTAGCTGGGATTACAGGTGCATGCCACCACACCCGGCTAATTTTTTTAACATTTTTAGTAGGGACAGGGTTTCACCATGTTAGTCAGGCTGGTCTCGAACTCCTGACCTCATGATCCACCCACCTTGGCCCCTCAAAGTGCTAAGATTACAGGCATGAGCCACTGAGCCTGGCCATCAATAATTTATACCTTCAAAAGGAAAGAAACAATATACAGCTACCAAATTAAAATCACTTGTTAACTTCAGTGGCACTACCCCAAAAGAATACCCAATATAAAACTGTGTTTATCACAAAACTTAACTTCCTCAAAACCTTTAATAAATGCAATTGGAAATGTCCAAGATAAAACTAGGTGAATGCTAAAGATTAGTTTGTGAAAAAGTACCTAAACCTAAACACTTAAAAATACCTAAAAAAATTGTTTAGTATAGGAAGTGACTAAACCTTTTAATTGTAAAATAAAAGTTTTGTTTGAGATTATTCCTATTATAGACTTAATTTTTCAAAAACATAATACTTCCAAAAAGTTTATTTTATGCATGCTATAATCATATGATGAAACCAAATGTATATTTTATCTACATGTGCGAATAAAATGTGCTTTGTAGATAGAGAAATAGGAACAGTATCTCTAAGAAATTCACAACTGAATAGATGTTCTGTAACTCTGAGTACATTTATGTGCACATTTAGCATGGAAGGGATTTTTAAAGCCCAAGAAGAGATAAAATAGACAAATGTTTTTGTTCCTTGTTTCATTAGAAACAAATTTTATGGCTGTTACTAATTTATTTTCCTTGCAAATATCAACTAAGAAAGTAAAGGTGATTAGCTATTACTAGGCAGCCTGTTTTTCCTTTTGAAATGTCATTTGGCTTGAACCAAATTGACAAAGAATAGAAAATCGTGTTATTATTGTCTATTTTATGGCTTCACAATTTAAAGTCTCATCAGGTTGATTCGAGTTGGCTAATCCACATAAGAGGCCTGTTAACCAGAAAAAGTTACTTTCTGCCTTTGAGAGTTGTGACAAATTGGATCTGTTGACTCTTTGAGTCTTATTCTAGTTCAGAGTTTCTCAATCCTGATATTATTGGCATTTTGAGTTGAATAAATCCTGGTTCTGGGGACTGTCCTATGCCTTGAAGGATGCTTAGTAGCATCCCTGACCTCTATCCATTAGATACCAATAGGACTTTTCTCTTACTTCCCCACCTCAATGAAGACAACCCAAAACATCTCCTGACATTGCCAAATGCCTCGGGGAGAAGAGAAGATTCCCCTGTTTGAGAACCATTGTTCCATTCTATGGTGATTGCTTCCTAGACCATTCGTTAGATTGTGTTCCTAAACCTTGTAAACCTGCAACCTCTTGTTATTAGTTAAAATTTCACATTAATCCCCCCACGGGAGTGTTGATAAAACCAACAACCCAGTGAGTTGTCACACATACCTTTCCATGGAGATCTTTTGATGTTCATGTTGGTGATCCTTGGGAGAATCACACTTCACCGGAGAAGATCTGGAAGTCTTATGGTTTTCTCTTTCCCAGATAATGGCTATATAAACCTTTGACATCTTCATGAATATAATGAATCAGGCATTCGCTCCCTTTTCCTGCTCATCTATTTCCGTCATTGACATTAACCCATAATTTCAAACATCAAATGTTATTTTATTTCTGATTCATATTCAGGAAGACATATTGGCCAGAAATGAACATTCTAGGAAGGATTTTGATTAATTAGGCCAAAAGGAAATGAGAGAAATGACGTAGGTGAGATCTGAGACGAGTTTGGCTTGAAGGATCTATGAAATTACAGAAGTCATTTACTTTAAAATTTATTTTATTTCTCTATAGTTTCTTGAACATATAGGATTATATTTCACTTAGGTAACAGTCTCATGTATTATCAGTTATCAATTTTCTTTCTCAAGATTGCTAGGTAGAAATTTTAATATTTTCACTCTAAATACCAAGAGATATAGAATAAGGATTGAGAAATCAGGATTTCTTGGTTCCTTGTTACACGGTCATTATATTCCCCTCATTTTATTTCCTGCTTTTACACATTCTGTTTTGTCTTTTTAAAAATAGCATATCTGGGCAGGGCACGATGGCTCACACCTGTAATCCCAGCACTTTGGGAGGCCGAGGCAGGCGGATCATGAGTTCAGGACCAGCCTGGGGAACATAGTGAAACCCTGTCTCTACTAAAAATACAAAACGTAGCCAGTCATGGTGGCTGGTGCCTGTAATCCTAGCTACTTGGGAGACTGAATCCAGGAGAATCAATTGAATCCAGGAGGCGGAGGTTGCAGTGAGCTGAGATCATGCCATTGCACTCCAGCCCGGGTTACAGTGCAAGACTCCATCTCAAAAAAAAAAAAAAAAAAAAAAATTTATATGGTACTTTGTTTTGGAATGTACATCTTTATCTGTTTATTTCTTTTGATTTTAACATATGTGTTAAGTGGTATTATTCTCTCCAATTTACAGATAAAGAAACAGAAGCTTGGAGAGACTAAAGGTAAGGAATATGAAAGAAGTAGATCAGTGCAAAAGTAATTGTGGTTTTGAGCATATTTTTAAGTGGCAAAAACCGCAATGACTTTTGCACCAACCTAATAACTCTACAGTTGAGTTAGATGAAGGAACAGTTATTACTTCATGGGAAATCAGGAGTCATGTGAGGAAGGCTAGGAAATGAATCCTAGGTGACAAAACTTCATCTTTCATGGGATTAAAAATTCCATTCACCTTTTAGAAATTTCATAAATGAAATGATTATAATGAATAAGAACTAAGTTTTATTGACGACTTTCTCTAATTTTTAAGTCCATGCATCTAAAACAGCCTGTGACCTTTAGTTTCAAATTTGCTGTCCCTTACAGTAGACTGATGAATGAGGTAATTAAAAAAATAATCTTCCTATGGCATTTACTTTTTCCATAGTTCCTAGAGCCACGTATGTGCTTTAGCAATTATCTGACTAAGTGCTCTTATGGGGACCTAGATATCTTAACAAAGACGAACATCACTGAAAAACTATCTTCCTAATTGCCTTAGTTTAAGGCAGTCCTACATTTTGAATCATAAACATCAAATGTGATGATTCATAGACTCTATCAATCTGTAAGCTAAGTCAGGATTCCATACACTTACATTAGGTATTCATTTTTTCCCTGTATGGTGAAAGTCTGAATTATTGAGAAAGCAGAGCTGTGTGGCAGAGAAATTAACATTATCCTATGTTCTCTTCCGCTCCCAGAACCTTAAGAGTAAGAAAATCTGTTATAAGAACTGACAATGACAACTTAATCTTAAAATTTAAAGGTGTTGTGTAATATTTGCAGATAGCCAGGATAAGAGCAAAACCTAAGCTGTGTTTATTCAGTGGTGGCCAGTCGATTTATTTGAATGCAAAGAGGTACATGTACAGCTGTAAAATTTATTGTGTGCTTCCTTGCTGCTCCACAGCACCACATTTCCTGTGAATGGAATATCGTAGTATCCAAATAATGCAAAAGACATATTTTATGCAAAAATCAGAGTTGTCTGATTCTTCTAGCTGCTATGCATGTTACCCCCTTTAACCTTAATTTTTGTGTGTGCTTTTTTTGCCAGCCTTTCTCTTTATCAAACTGTGCTCTTAATTTAGAACAATAAAGAAGTTCAGTAAATGTAGGGTCGTATGTTTTAAAGCTATTTACAAAACTTCATTTGTTTGCCATTTTTGGTCTGAGGGCTTGTGATTAAACTGAGGTGTGATGATTGATTTCAGTCAAGTAGCTGATTAAAAAGCTTAAATTATACTAAAGTTCTCAAGCTATGTCTAGTACCTGAAATGAATAAAAAAGTTTGTCATCTTTTCTAAAGAACTCTAATTTTTAACATTAAGTAATATCAGGTTGGTTTTTATTCTCAGTTTGGAAGAAAGTTTGTATTTTCTTTTGTTTATCTGTTTTTAAGTTTGGAATAATTTTGTTTTTTCTTCTGTTACGTATGAAGCAAAGTATATGTAAAATCCTTCACATAACTTAAGAGGTGTTTACTGCAAGATATGCTACGGGATTTTAAAGAGTGAAAGAAATAATGAGTTAATGAAATCCTCAGAATAAATGTATTACAAAGATATTTCAATGTATATTAGTAGTGAATCATCTTAAAGTGAAATATGAAATGATTAAACGTATATTATCTGTGAACTGAAAAATTCTCAATAGTCATCTTCTAATACTTGGACTAAAAATGAAATAGAATGTATGTTGTTTTCTATATAAAATATTAGAAAATGGAAAGGACACATTGGAGAAAGGGTCAATAATGTTTTTTTTTGAATGGTGCTATTTTTAGAATAAACTAAATGCAATGACTTAATTACACCCTACTATTTAGATTAAATTCATACTAATGGAATTTGACCTAATGCTGCCCGATTTTCAGTAAACTGCAATCTAACTTAGTATGTAAACAAACTGCAATGTAAATTAAGAGTATATTCTTTTAACAAGTAGCTGAGTCTTGGCCAATCTTAGCAGCTGGGCTTTCAGCTGATGACAGGCTACCAACTCCTCAGACATGTCCAAATAAGGCAAAGGACGGGCTGTAACCAATGACACTATTTTTGTTTATCATTATTTCTGTCTGTAAATATTGCCTGCCCATTTTGCTGGGTGGAGCTCTCCAAACCATTACTGGTTTAGGGTGCCGCCTGATTCATGAATTGTCTCTTTGCTTGTTTAAACTCTGCTAAAATTAATTTATCTAAAGTTTTTTCTTTAACAATGATAAGACATGCTTTTGGTTTTTTTGGAAGTGTTCGTGTTCAGTGCTTGTTTTTGCTAGGGCTTGGAGATCATCAGTTTTTCTTAGTGACCCCAGAATGTAAGTTCTTAATCTGTTGTCAGTGCCTTGAGGGCATTTGCTCCTTAAATAAGAAAACCATAGTGAAAGCATTGGGAAATTTTCCCTGTAATTCTTATTTTTTTCTTTTAATTACTGCCATACGATTCATGTTTTCTCTAGTTCTTTGAGGTCTCTATCAATTATATGTCACATGATTGTTCTGAATCATGTTTGCTTTGGACCAATTTTAATGCCTGATATATAACAATGCCAGTTGTAAGGATGATGTGTCCAGAGACTTCACAAATGTAAATCCCACTCTTTGAGAGTTACGTGTTTTTAGGCAAAAGAATTAAATATTTAACTGTATGCTGGCTGGAAGTAAGGTAGATGATAACTTTCCCTGTGAAAGGTTCCTCACACTTCAATATGACGTGTATGTGCACAGGCACACACATTCTTTATCTGATGGAAAGTATAGTTGAAGCATGCTTACTTCTAGCCAAAGATCAGTTGGTCTATCTATCTATCTATCACCTATCTATTAATCATCTATTATTATTATTATCTAATAGGAAACAAGACTCTCAGCCATGCTCAGTTCCAGGGATAATTTTCAATTTTATAATTTAAAATTCTAATTAGCACAGGCACCATCAAATACAATAGAAAGCTATAGTAATAGGTCAGGGTGCCTGAGGCCCCCTGAACTCATAGGCATTAATTTTTTTCATTGTTTCATAGTGGTGAGACTGTAGGGGTTGACCTATGTGAGGGGCTGGGGAAGTCTGAAGGAATCAGGGCACTTAGGAAGTCAGGGTTGAAAGTCTGTACTGAGCAGTATTTTGATACTGTAACAACTCTAGGGCCATACATGTGCTAACACACTATCACCCTACCTTCCTCCACTACCAATTTTTTCTGCATATATTGAAAAGATCCAGATTGAAAAGTAGAGCAGGCGCTTCAGAGAAAATACCATTTTTCAAACTCAGCCTACATGCCCTTTATCCTTCAATACATTTTGCTGTTAGAATTTCTTTAAAGTATCTTAGCTGTGAACTATCTGCTTAGTTTTTTTCTTATTTATGCAGTCATGTCTTACCAGCATAAACAAAGTGACAACTCTTTAGGAAAGCTCTTTATCATTGGGGTTGGCCTAGAAGAAAGGACATATAAATAAGAATTAATTATTTGATGCAATGATCTATCGTCCAACAGTAATTAAAATATGTATAGTACTAGGCTTTTAAATGCTGTATGTGAATATAAAAGTTCAAGGTGATGAAGAAGTCTTCCGGAAAAGGCAGATCACAGAATCATAGCTCTCACTAATTCTAAAAAAATGAATGGAAAATAAGATTTAAAAGAAACTAAAAAATACATTTGTTATCAAAAGTGGAAGGAAGTATGAACATGTTCATTTTAAAAAATGGTTTGTATCTGAGAATCAATAGATATAGTCAAGCTGATATTTTATCTGTGAAAATTTCAACAGATGATACAAAGTTCTGATTATAACCCTTAGAAAAATGAAAAACATGTTGAAAATCTACTAACTTGTCAGAAAAAGAAAATACACACACACACACACACACACACACACACACACACACACACAGAGTCCAGTTAACACAAGACATTCCATTTAACAGAAAATACGAAAAAAAAGATATATAGGCAAAAAAAAATGTAATTAGGGGCCAGAATAAAATGAAGTATGTTGAGATAAGTCTACTTATTGAAAGAAAAAAAAATGACTCAGTTTCTAAAAATGGCAAATTCCAATTAAATGCTTATATACAAGTGACATATCTCATAGGGGAGAAGAGATTCCTTTTCTTGCCCATAGATAGGTTTATGCTTGACAGTCCTATAACAAAAGACAGAATAACAAAAGAAAAACACATAGATTTATTCAATATAAATTTACATGAAAAGAGCCTTCAAAAATGAAGAATCAAAGAAATGGAGAAATGTGTATTTTTATGCTTAAGGTTGATGAAAAGAAGACAGTCATGTAGAAATACAATTGTACAAAAAGAAGTATGATCTAAAACAACCAACTATAGGGAACTTACCAAAGCTTGTGTGTTCTATTTCTTATTGCTGTCTCTGTCTTTGAGGCTACTTCTGGAATGAAGGTTCTTATGACCTACTTTATAGAAAGGGCAGAGGATTCTTTTATGGCCTGCTTCGGGGGAGAAGGATGGGAGAAGCTCACAGAGTGGACTTCTTGGTTCTGCTGTTTCCTGAAATGCCAAGATGCCATATTTTGGGGTAGTGTGTTCTGAACCCCATCAATCTAAAGGAGTGGTTTTCAAAGGGCAAGCAGTTAGGAGGTGATTTTGCCTCCCAGGAGACATTTGCCACTGTGTGAACATGTTTATGATTGTCATAACTGGAAGTGGGGGTGCTGCTGGCATCTGGTGAGCAGAGACCAGGTAAGTGGCTAAACATCATACAACACACAGAGCAGCCCTCAGAACAAAATATTATGCCATCCAAATGTTAGTAGTGCTGCTGTCGAAAAGCCCAGATCTAAAATGGAGTGTCTAAAAAAGCTAGTACAAAAAAAATCACACCAAGCAAATTAACTTGCTGGAGTATAAATTATTACTAGGCAAAAATGTTAAAGCAAAGTGCAGTACTTTGTGCTATTGTATTGATATGAGGCTGTCTGTAATCTTCTCATATTCAATAATAGGATCAAAAACATAAAGCATGTATTAAGTAAATGTGAGGGGAAATTAACCAAGACACAGAGTAGGATATGGGTGTTTGTATTTCAAGCACCTAGAACATCTAAAATAGAACACATGGCAAAAATAATATATAAAGAATTTAGTTTGTTTTGTTTTCTTGCAGTGGTTACCATGATTGTTCAGTGGCTGAATCTAAATAATTCCTTGAGTTCTTATCTATGTCAATTTTTTTCTGGCATTCAACCTTATACTGTCCCCTTTGGCTGTCTTATTCAATGTCATGACTTTACTTGTCACACCCATGAAGATGATCCCAGCTCTGTTTATCTTTCCCTAAGTTCTCTTCTGAGCTACTAATTACATGCTAGACATTTCAATCTATATGTCTACAAGTAAGATATGCTGAATTATTAAAGAAAATCCTTAATGATTCATCATTTCTCTCAAATAGCTTCTCAGACATCGACACTTAACATCTCAGAGTGATATTTATTTCCTTTTTTTTGTTTCTCTCGCATCACACTCAGCCAGTTGGCATGCTGCAATTATTCTGTCCCTCTAACTCCATAAAATTATCTTTCTTCCTCGATCCAGGTTATCTTGACCTGCATATGTATAACAGCTTTTCTTACATTTTCTCCTGCCTATGTTCAACTCAGCTTCAATCTGTTCATCCATTGAACAGAGGCTCAACCTGTGGACAATCTCTAATTTGTCTAAATCATAGTATTTTAGAGGTAGAGGGTCATGGGGTAATTCTAACCAAATATCACATTACAGAAATGAAGAAAGGTGGGGTAAACATATTTACTGAAAGAACTGGCACTGAAACTCCAAATCTTTCACCTGCCATACTGGTAATATTTCTTCTTGCCTTCTGTCTGCCCACGTCTATGTGCATTCTTATGCGCTCACTGAGCTTCTTATGCAGCTGATGATACGTCTTGATTAGGAGATAAAGATGTGACTTTGAAGACACATTGTGAAACACGTTATTACTTCAAGGAAAAATGCCAAGGTAATTGGGTTTCCAAAGAGAGAGGAGAGATAAATGGAATGTTCTGAAGAATTCAGAGTCTTTAAGAAAACATGGTCACTGTCAAAGAGAATTTGAGAGTGATTCTAAATCATGTTATAAAAACAATACGTTTGTTAGACTATTTCTTAATGAGTTATGCAGATAAGGGATGAGAAGCTATTAATTTTTTTTTGTCTTCAAATTGGTCTTTGATTTATCTGCCATTTTGGTCTCTAAGAATTCTTTTACTAGTATGAGTCTTGCATGTGTCATAAAATTTTCATTTAACTTTTTCACTTGTCACTTCTACATCATTAGTGGAATGAAAGTCAAAGAATTCTTGTAAATTAAAAAAAGAGATAAAAGGTTATCTGTCGACCACTTGAGAGAAGCTCTGCTGTTGTTACCATTAGAGGTGATGTGGCATTTGAATGTTCTCTTTTCTACAGTCCATTTTGTACTGATATCTTATAAAATTAACTTAATAGAAGCGAAATAGTATGTTTCATCCAGAAGGAAGCACTGATTTCATAAAGAAACAAAGAGAATGAATATAAAAGTTTCTATTAATAACTGCAGAATAACAAACAGTCTTTAATGTCAGCTACACGTGAAAACAGAGAAAGTGTCCATTGGAATAAGTGGAAATCATAGGTACATATGTAGGAAACAGCTATGAAATTATGAGAATGTTTTTATGTTTGATAAAAGCTTTCTCATTGAGGTTAAGTCAATTATATAGGAGTACATATTTTAAGAATATTTTTTGAAGATGACTATGTGAAATAACTGTCTTCCAAACTCTTATCTACATGAATGAAGTTAACAGTGATGTAATTATTCATACACTTTAATCTCAGGGGAACTTTAATACCAAATGTCAAAAGTTATTTTTTCCCATTTCCAAGTAATTTCAAAAAGTATTTATTGCATTTGGTTGTGTAGGTCTGTATCTTATTTTTGTTCAAAACCTTTTAAATTTTTGTTTATGGGTTGGCAAATTAGATGGTTAAAAACAGTCAATCAAATTGCAGGTTTTGTAGGCCCTAAGCAATTGTTGGTGAAATTATGAATGATTTTTACCTTTCAAACTCCTTGATGACACAAGCAATGATAAAAATAATGAAATCCCTTTATTTAGTGCTCTGATCAAAATCTTACAACATGCCATTGTGTAAATTTTATCATGGTTACTTGAGTAGTTTAATACTTGTACAAATTTTACTCACTGTGTATGTGTTGGCAGCCACTAGACATGTTATGTGTATTTGTTCTGAAGTACTCAGATAATTGCCCTAATCTCACTGTGTATCACAAAACTTTACTACATGAAAAATATATGTTAATTCCTCATCAGTGTTTTAAAATTTTTGGGGGCTGGGCGCGGTGGCTCAAGCCTGTAATCCCAGCACTTTGGGAGGCCAAGGCAGGTGGATCACGAGGTCAAGAGATCGAGACCATCCTGGTCAACATGGTGAAACCCCGTCTCTACTAAAATACAAAAAGTTAGCTGGGCATGGTGGCGCGTGCCTGTAATCCCAGCTACTCAGGAGGCTGAGGCAGGAGAATTGCCAGAACCCAGGAGGCGGAGGTTGCGGTGAGCCGAGATCGCGCCATTGCACTCCAGCCTGGGGAACATGAGTGAAACTCCGTCTCAAAAAAAATTTTGGAAGATATATTTTTAAAAATTACATATAATATTTTCATTATATGAAATATTTCTAGCAATAGAACTCAAAATTTCAAATCCCATAAAAATGATTCCGTTGGAGCTGTTAGTAACTCTGTAGGAAGGTCTAGAATATGAAAGTGGAAATAAGGCAGGTTTTAATGGACTACAAAATTTCATATAACATGTATATAAAATCAAGGGTAAAATAATAAGTTCTAGATAGCAGCTTATCACCCAGGTCCATTTCCACTGATAACTGCTGCTTCAAAGATTAAATTAAAATGAACGCCTGCAGAATATTTGTGTGTTTAAAGAATTCATTAAAAGTGGAATATTCCTTCCTGTTTGGCCAATTCCTTAATGAATATATTTGCATTTAATAATAGCATCTTACCTTTAGAGCTTTCTTGCTCATTTTCTCTGCTTTTATCCTAAGCAGTCAGATTTCCAAGGTTAAGACCAAAGACTTTGTAAAAATGTCATGGGTTTGTCCTTGTCAAAAAAAAAATTCTGAAGTCTTTTCTGGCAGTTTACTTCAATGTCATTTCAAGCATAAGAAACTATCATCCCAGACATGAAATCAAAAATATTGTTTTATACTGTTAGAAAAGATTTTATTATGTATTTTCTGCCTTTGGGCAGACACATTTCAGGAAAGTTCAATAAAGATGACATTACAACTGTTTTACTTTCATTATACCCCCAAATTACAGATCTATATCTTAAGCCTTATCTTTGTAGAAAGGGTTGTATGAAAGCAAACTTCAATATTTTAAATGAAGCAATATGCCTATTTTTCAGAACAAATTCTATATTATTGTTTGTTAAGGAGTTATATAGACTTATGTATACATTATTACATAGGGGAAAGAAGTCTTGAATTATATTATTTGCTCCAATTCTTACTCTAGCAGTACCTACATGACTAAATAGTTTATTACCAATTTGATAGATATGATTTGTCATGCTTTGTGAAAATTCCTGATGCTTCCATTTCCTTCTGCTCATGAAGCTTCATAAACTAGCTAAAGTTAGCAACTTCCAGTGATACCTGATCCTGCCAAGGATTATGAAATCAGACAGGCAAGTACTCATTTGTAACAGTGGCCTCTCTGTATAGGGCTGATTTGGTGATACTTTGAATAATGTTTAGAATATCCTCAGTAAGAGAGACTATAAATAGTTGTTTTGATTATCTATGACTGCAAAAACAAAAAACAAAACAAAACAAACAACAACAACAAAATACTACCTTCAAATTTTGTGACCTAAACAACAACACTCAATTTGTTATTATCTCTCCTGGCTCTTGCCTGGGATCTTTCACGTGGATTGCAGCCAAATGGTGGCTAGGGCTAAACATACCTTGAAGCCTTCTCCACTCACATGTTTGTTAGTTGATACTGAGTGTCAGCTGGGATTGTTCAGTAGAACTCCCACTCAAGGCCTCTCCATATGTTAGGGGCTTCCTCACAACATGGTGGAGGATCTCTAGAGCAACTCACCCAAAAAGACTAGTCAGAAACTCTTTCTTTTATCAACAGCCTTGGAAGTTGCATAGCATTATGTCCTTCATGGTCCTGGCAAGCCTGGATTCAAGGGACAAAATAGACCCAAACTCTCATTGGGAGAGGTGTCAATGTCACATTGTAAGACAATTGTGTGGAATGGCAGATTTTGTCGTATCCATCTTGAAGAACATAATCTGTGATAATCATTGTACTCCAGGGCTAATCTTATTACCTACTCCTTCAATTATTCTTCAGTGACTTTGATGTCT